TGTGGTGACGGTCTATGCAAACAACGATCTTTTGCTGCTAAAACACCTCAAAAATGTGAGCAACGATTTTGCTGCCCCAAGCTGCTTGAACAGACTAAAAAAATTTAGGACGTTTCTATGATTACATTTTTAATTCATATCAAACAGCTATCAAAATGATAAAATTTCGTTGTTTAATTTCTCATACGAAGGCAGCTGTTTTTTTTATTATAATATAGTTTATTTCTTGCAAAAGGTATAGTTTATTATAGTATAGTTTATTTCATTTTTACACAGTGAATAGCGAGCGTAAACTGGAAAAATAAAACATGAGACAAAAAATCAGCGCGGAAGAAACACAGTTCAAAAACTGCAAAACTATTTCTGCATAAGTCGGTTCAAGCAAAACACTGCTGTTGTCTGAAGATGCGATTTCCAGCCCTGATGTTACTCTTATTTTAATAAGAAAAAAAAGAATTTTTTTGGAATTTCAGCAAGAAGTATAGTTAACAATTCTTGGGAAAATATATGTTTTTTTGAATTCCTATAAATACTCAAATTTTTAATAATGAAAGTAAATAGTGTCAGAACATAGTAAATATAAACTTCTTTCAATTTTTACTTGTCAATTTATCATTATTATCGTTACTGTTATTATTATTTTTTTTGTTATCACTCCCATTATTCTTTTTTATCAGTACGGTTTTATCAGTAAAACAGTTCAGAGTTTTAGAATTTACTTAAAAAGTGAATCATTTCCCATATGTGAAACTTAATAATAAAACGTTTCAGAAATACCTTCTACCGAAAAAATTTGAAAAATCCAAACTGTGCTGCTACAAAACAAAGTCCGAGATTAAGTGCATAACTAATGGAAGTATACTGCAGAGTGTTGTTAACGTAATCGCTTCGCAAGGTGATGCCGGCAATGAAGCGAAAGAAGAACTGGGCCGTCTACTCAATTCGATAGCCTCGTTCAGCGATGGTCGAAATTATCTGCTGGTCAATAACCAGGGCAAACAGTTAATTGCTACTCTAGCAGCAGGTCTCAAAACGAAAAAATTACATCACAGTGCCGGAGAGCAGGCGCTTGCAACACTACAGAAACTCAGCATAAGGTTTCTGGATTTTGTCCGATTTCATAGACAGATTGTGGAATTGCACACGACCGAAAGATAAAATTCATCACTGAGACTGTCCCCTGGATAATGGATCTCGAATTTTATTTTATTAAAACTCAACTATGTGCTTAGTTAGAGGCGCTAGACCCTCACAGACTTTTTGTTCTCATAAATTATTGAACCTTTTCTCCATTTATGTTGTTATTTTTTAAAAGCAAAATATTGAAAATTTATTATTAATACGAGTTGAAATACACGGACAGACATGCACACACACATACACACGAGCCATGATTCATGGCTCGTGTGTATGTGTGTGTGTATGTCTGTCCGTGTATTTCAACTCGGATTAATAATCGCAGTACGCATTTTCGCACTTGCATAAATGCGAAAAAAACGTATAAAAAATGTCAGAATGGCTAGTAAACTGACCACCATGCAAAGCATTATTTGTCATAGCTACCGGTAAAGTTAGCTGCATAACTGGAGAATTAGTCGATGATTTATGACTGATTGAAATGCAAGAATATTAATAAAAGTTCTATTCACACAGCAAAACGATTAAGTGTTAATTATCGTATTTCTAATTTCCCTTTAATTTTATGTTTGATTATTATCATCCCTTCGGCTTGCATTTTTGTCCCATTCTTTTTCTGCTTTTTATAATATTAAGTTACGTTAGCCTGTGGTTTCCGAACATCGAATTTTTTTCTCTTTTTCTAACCGCAAAACATCCGGTTTGTCTTTCCACGGATAATACGAATTTTGCAGGTCATCCGTGCAGAAAGAACTGGTTCAACTGGGAATGCTGGAGTGGCTCTCGATTTACCTGGGTGGTAAGCCGAGTCCCGCGGCACTGGACTATGGCTGTGCGCTGTTACTCAATTTATGTCTACATCCGTTTGGGCGATCAGCTGCCTCACGTGCTGCCACCATTTTTATGGCAACAATTGCAACCTTAATGGCTGATCTTAAATTACCGGTGCGTGAATTACAAACTTTTTGTATTTTCAGTTCCTGTCATTCGTAGTAGCATATGGTTCATCCGCATCGCCAGTAGAATGACCGCCAGGCGAAGCAATGTTGGTCAAAACAACTGCGAAAAGTTGCGAGCTGCATACTCAGGGAATTACGTTATGAGTATAGCTGATTAGCATTGGAGTGGTGAAGTGACATTTTAACAAAAATGAGGAAATACTGGATCAGCAGACGAAAAGAGCAGCAGGACTACCAGCGAACTGACCACTGGCCAGCATAGCATTGGTCAAAGTGACCGGAGTAGTTGCAGCTACGTCGTAGAACGACCAGACCAAAGCATTTGGGTATGAGTTATGTAAGTATGGGCACTAAGTAAGAATGGGTTATGTGAATGCAGTAACTCGGAAATGAGGAAAATGAGGGGCGTGCACTGTGGTGCGGAACGGTACAATTACGGTTGTTTGCCCGAATCAGAGTATGTTAATGAGCCACTAATATTCCATACAGTAACAATCTGCAACCTCAGCTGAAACAATTATCCAACCCTGTAATCTTGAACTCTTTTCCACCCTTCCCACTCCTATCATTTCAGACCTTCCCACAATAATTGTACGTTTGGATCACACTGTTTATTATTCACTAAATTTCAGGTGTGTTATTATGTGAACGGTGTACTGTATTCGGTACTTGGCGTAGCTCGCGTGAGAGCACGTGCGCGGGAAATCAACTTGGCAAATATTGTAAAAGAAAAAATGGAGCAGAATCATTGCAGTGATGATGGCAAACAGCTTCCAACAATTTTCAAAATTCTTATTGGTGGTAAGAATTTAATAAGTATTAACAATCAAAATTGTTTGAGCCAGCAATTTTCCGTAGAAAACAGTTACTTTGGCCGAAAGGGCCACTGTTCCCTACTGTGGTTTCTAAACTGAGTTGAACTTAGCTGGTGCCGATTTTCCGCTCTTTAATGCGTCCGCGTACCATTCCTCTAATAAAGAAATTTGCTTCCTTTCGATCGATTTTGCTTTTTTCAAGAAT